ATTACACTTAAAAAAAAAAGGTTTTTTTTGTTTGTTTTTGTTTTTTTGAGGTGGAGTCTCACTCTGTTGCCCAGGCTGGTGTTCAGTGGCACAATCTCAGCTCAGTGGTACAACTGTGATTCTTCTCCCTCAGGCATGAGCCACCATACCCGGCTAATTTTTGTATTTTTAGTAGGGAAAGGGCTTCATCACGTTGGTCAGGCTGGTCTTGAACTCCTGGCCTCAAGTGATCTGCCTGTCTCAGCCTCCCAAAGTGCCAGGATTACAGGAATGAGCCACTATGCCTGGCTCCATGACTTTTATTTTTTTTAACTTTTATTTATTTATTTAGAGACGGAGTCTCACTCTGTTGCCCAGGCTGGAGTGCAATGGTGCAATCTCTGCTTACTGCAACCTCTGCCTCTGCATTTCAAGCAATTCTCCTGCCTCAGCCTCCTGAGTGGCTGGGATTACAAGTGCACGCCACCACGCTTGGCTAATTTTTTGTTTTTTTTGTTTTTTTTTTTTTTTGAGGAAAAAAGATTAATTCAGTGTCATAAATCCAGACATATCAGAGGCAAAATAAAAACTGAAAGAAAAAGAAAGAGGAGACTAGTATTTTCAGAAAATAGAATTGTTAGATCAAAAGTTATACATTCAGTTTTCATAACTTATGCAATATTAAATTGAGAAAACACTTTCTCACAGTCTAGCAAATCAAAATTTTAATTTGTTTATATTCCTTTTTTCTGTATCTGATACATTGAAATTATAGCATATGTTTTCATGTAATTTTATCATTAAATTTGTTAGGACAGCATTTTAATTAATTAATTAATTAATTAATTTGAGACAATCTTGCTCTGTCACCCAGGCTGGATTGCGTTGGCACAATCTCTGCTCACTGCAACCTCTGCCTCCCCGGTTCAAGCGATTCTTCTGCCTCAGCCTCTTTGACTAGCTGGGACTACAGGCGTGTGCCACCACGCCCAACTTATTTTTGTAGTTTTAGTAGAGACAGTGTTTTGCCATGTTGGCCAGGCTGGTCTCAAGTGATCCACCCGCCTCGGCCTCCCAAAGTGCATAGCGGGCGAAATTTGGTAGGTAGACATGGCACATATGGGATTTTTTGTTTGATGAGAAGAAGAATTGGGACAAATGCTGGCTTTTTAAGATTATTATTACATGTTTGAAAGAGTACAGATGGATAATCTGGTAGAGAAAAGATTCGTGTATACAGATGGATATAGGGATTTAGGAAAAGTTAGTAATTGGCAAGAATATATATATATATATATATATATATATATATTTTTTTTTTTTTTTTTTGAGACGGAGTCTTGCTCTGTTGCCCAGACTGGAGTGCAATGGTGCGATAACGTCTCACTGCAACCTCCGCCTCACTGTGCCCAGCCAGGAAAGCATTTCAAAGTGTTATTTGGTTTAGTAAGTAATAAGTAATACTGTAGATGATGCCTTCATGTCTGTGGATGGCTTTGTTTTATTTTATTAAGAAAAATTCCCGAGTGTAATTTCCCGGATCAAAAGATAAAGACATCTCTAGTTACGTACTTTTTACAGTTTTTTCCCCTAGAAAGATATGATCATGCCAGTGTACAGATGTATAAGCTTTAGTGAAATTTCAGGAACTTTGGGTATTAGGAACTTTAAATAATATGTAATTTAGTAAGCATAAAATGGTAGTTTTAAGTTTATAGTTCTTTTAAGTATTAGGTAATTGTGCTTATTTGAGAATTTGATTGTTGGAACCTTTGAGCTAATCATACCAATGTTACGGGTAAGGTAATAAGATCTGAGGTTAAAAGCAGCTTTGTTAAATTGCATAGCCTGTCAGTCCTGGCTGCTGGGGAGGCTGAGATGGGAAGATCGCTTAAGCCCAGGAGTTTGAGGCTGTAGTGAGCGCCCATCATGCCACTGCACTCCAGCCTGGGTGCCAGAGTGAGACCCTGTCTTTGAGAGGAAAACAAAAAGATATTTACGGTTTTTTTTTTTTTTTTTTTTGAGACGGAGTTTCACTCCTGTTGCCCAGGCTGGAGTGCAATGGCTGATCTCGGCTCACCACAACTTCCGCCTCCTGGCTTCAAGCAATTCTTCCACCTAAACCTCCTGAGTAGCTCTGATTACAGGCGTGCGCCACCACGTGCAGCTAATTTTTGTGTTTTTAGTAGAGACGGGGTTTCTCCATGTTGGTCAGGCTGGCCTGGAACCTCCGACCTCAGGTGATCCGCCTGCCTCAGCCTTCCAAAGTGCTGGGATTACAAGCATGAGCCACTGCACCCAGTCAGGTATTTAAGTAATTCTTTTTTTTATTTTTTGAGACGGAGTCTTGCTCTGTAGCGCGGGCTGGAGTGCAGTGGCTGGATCTCAGCTCACTGCAAGCTCCGCCTCCCGGGTTTATGCCATTCTCCTGCCTCAGCCTCCCCAGTAGCTGGGACTACAGGCGCCCGCCACCTCACCGCGCCTGCCACCTCACCCGGCTAGTTTTTTTGTTTTTTGTATTTTTAGTAGAGACGGGGTTTCACCGTGTTAGCCAGGATGGTCTCGATCTCCTGACCTCGTGATCCGCCCGTCTCGGCCTCCCAAAGTGCTGGGATTACAGGCTTGAGCCACCGCGCCCGGCCGTATTTAAGTAATTCTAATGAGCATTTAAGGTTAAGAAATTACGTTATAAAAGTTCAAAATAACTGCAGTCATGTTTAACATTTTTAAGATCGTTGAGTGTTTTCTCTATGAGCCTATTATGAGAACTACCTGGTCCCTGTCTCATATACCAAAACAGACTTTTCTTAGCAACATCCCCAAATGCATATTTTTAAGTTTTCTAGTTGAGTCTGATCAACTAGGTTTGGCATAATTTTTAGAAAGAGCTTTGGAATAAGGAGAGGTTTGGCCTGGCATCCCAGTTGAATCATGTAATAGCTGGGGCAAATTTATAATCTATCTGAATCCTTTTTTTTTGCATAATTTATAAATGTCTGTTTTTAATCTGTAAAATGGGGAGAATAATATGTACCTTGGTATGGTTATGATGCCTGTCTTGCTATTATTATGAAGTTTGGGTTATTGGTACCTTAGATTAACTTTAGCTATAGTATTATATAAGTCAACTGTTGAGTATAGTGATTTGTTAAGAAACATTCAATTAAGGTACTTTGTTCACTTTAAACATTTCAGATATAAAGAGAAAAGGAAAATAAAAGCAACCAGTAATTGTGCCATCCAGAGTATTTTAACATGTTGTTATTTTAAAATATATGCATGTATACATACATAATTTTGTACAAAATCACAGACAAAGATTTTTAGCTTCGGAGATTTTTAACATGGAAAGTTTATACACTACTTCTCAGATGTGCAATACAAATGTAGTTTTCATTATCTTACTCTGGAACCCCCCCATTCTTGATATGGCAGGGATTGGTAATGGTGGAAATGTTTTTTTGGTGTTGAAAAGTCTTGTTTATATCAGCATTTATCTTTGCTTTCTTCTTTGAAGAATTCTCTACTCACTTCTCCATAAGACATTGGCTTAGTGAGGGAGGAATTTCATGCTAATTGTGTTGCGAGGGAGGTTCCTTGGGTTTTATGTCATGACTCCTGTTTGGTCTGGTTCTTAAGTACTCTCTGCTGGTGTCTCTGAAGGCATGTGTTTGGGCTTTGCATTTGCTGCTGAAAACAATTACAATTTGTTATTTTGTTTTATTTTAGAGACAGGTCTGCTATGCAACCCAAGCTGGAGTGCAGTGACGCAATCTTGGCTCACTGCAACCTTCGCCTCCTGGGCTCAAGAGATTCTCCTGCACTTTAGCTGCCCAAGTAGCTGGGACTACAGGCGTAGTCCACCATGCTCGCCAATTATTATTTTATTTATTTATATATTTATTTATTTAGAGACAGAGTCTCACTCTGTCGGACAGGCTGGAGTGCAGTGGTGCGATCTTGGCTCACTGCAATCTCTGCCTCCCATATTCAAGTGATTCTCCTGTCTCAATCTCCTGAGTAGCTGGAATTAAGGCATGCACCTCCATACCCAGCTAATTTTTGTATTTTTAGTAGAGATGGGGTTTCGCCATGTTGGCCAGGCTAGTCTCGAACCCCCCACCTCAGCCTTGGCCTCCCAAAGTGTTAGGATTACAGCTGTGAGGCACCACATCTGGCCCTAATTTTTGTGCTTTTTGTAGACAGGGTTTCACCGTGTTACTCAGGCTGGTCTCGAACTCCTCAGCCGAAGTGATCTGCCTACCTCGGCCTCCCAAAGTGCTGGGATTACAGGCACAAGCCAGCTTATTTTAGTTTCTTGACATAAAGATGAATTTTTATTCATTTATTTGTATTTTTTGAGATGGAGTCAACTCACTCTGTTGCATTTGCTCTGTTGCATTTTATTTTAGAGACAGTTCTGCTATGCAACCCACTGTGTTGCCCACCTGGACCTCCCAAAGTGTTGCGATATAGGCGTGAGCCACCGCGCCCAGCCAAGAGTTTATTATGCTTTTTTCCCCAACAAGAATGAACTTGTTTTTGTGATGGAGTCTTGCCCTGTCATTCAGGCTGGAGTGCAGTGGCACAATCTCGACTCACTGCATCCTCCATCTCCCGGGTTCAAGGCTCAGCCTTCTGAGTAGCTGGGACTACAGGCGCATGCCACCATGCCCAACTAATTTTTGCAGTTTTGGTAGCATTGGGGTTTTGCCTTGTTAGCCAGGCTGGTCTCGAGCTCCTGGTGTCGAGTGATCCGCCTCTCTTGGCCTCCCAAAGTATTGGAATTACAGGCGTGGGCCTCCGCACCTGGCCAAGAATGAACTTGAATACTCTTTTTTATATACATGAAGATACGTGCTCAGAAAGGATATTTATTTGATTAATTATCCAGCTTACAATTTATTATAAAATGAGTAATATACCAATATATTGCCAGTGATAGAGAACTTCTATGCTTATTGGTATAAAAATATAGAAAGGGGAACTAAAAATATTAATGTGCAGTCATTATTTTATAGAACTAATGAGGCGTCAAGAAGAACTCAGACGCTTGGAAGAACTCTGAAACCAGGAGTTGCAAAAACAGAAGCAAATACAACTAAGGTAAAAGAAGATCAGTGTAAGAAACATGAATTGTACGTCTTATTAATAGAAACTCCCCACCACCTGTTACAAGTTGTATAAGTTGAGTATCATGGGAAAAATAGAAAAATTGCCCATTTTAACCACACACAGTGAATTACTTCATAATGTAGCATAATTCTTTGCTATTGTTAGTGTTTTTTAACTGGTTAAGGGCACTTTGAAGTTAAGCAAGGGTTTTAGGTATTATTATATGTAATTTATTGTAAGAATATGCTGTGAATATCAACTTTTCCGGAGATGGATATATTTGCATTGCTCTTAGTTTTTATTTTTTTATGTTTATAACTCTACTATGAATATCTTTATGTATCTTTATGCTTCTGATAATGTTTAAACAAGATTTCTGAGGCTAGGGGTGATGGCTCATGCCTGTAATTCCAGCACTTTGGGAGGCTGAGGTGGGCAGATCACATGAGGTCAGGAGTTCGAGACCAGCCTGGCCAACATGGTGAAACCCTGTCTCTACTAAAACTAAAAAATTAGCCAGCTGTGGTGGCACACGCCTGTAATCTTGTTTACTCAGGAGGCTGAGGCAGGAGAATCACTTGAACCCGGGAGGCGGAGGTTGCAGTGATCTGAGATCTTGCCACTGTACTCCAGAGCTACAGAGCGAGACTCCATCTCAAAAAAAAAAAATTTCTGGAAGTTGACTCTGTGCTAAAAGGGGTTATGGGCATTTAAAATCTCAGTACATAATAGATAATCATGATGGTCAGCTTAAAATCTTTTAGGTTTCAGTAAGGATGTTTGGGAGAATGGTTAGTTCAAGATGTATAAACCCACACTGACAGCTTACCTTGTGCCTGTGGTATTTAATTGCAAAATATAATGGTATAAACATTACTCTTAAAAGGTTCAAAAATCATACTAGTTAGGAAATATTATGAACAAAGCTATGATAGATGAAGCAAAGTTAGAAATCTGTTTTTGAAAATAATATTTGTTTTAAAAATATAAAGTGCTTGTGGTAAGAAAATAAGGTATTCATGGGGAAGTAAAAGTAAAGAAAAAAGTGAAAAACCGTGAACAAATTTGAAGTTTCTCTGGTCAGCAAATAGGTGATATTCTGTATATTTTGATGTATTTTTTTCAAACTTTGTACCCGAGTTTATCAATTTATAAATATTTCTATATGATTTTGCTCTACCCAATTCATTCTTAAATCAAATTCCCTGGACAGACAGCATTAGCATTTCACTTAGGGAACTGTTAGGAATATAGTCTCAAGCCTCCCTGCAGAACTACTGAATGAGAAACAACAGTGGTGAGGCCCAGCCACCTGGAATCCTCCAGCATTCAGATATATCTGAAAGCTTAAGAACCACTGTTTTTTACAACTCTCAACATCATGAATGTGCCTTCCTCAGGAACCTTTTTAAAAACCTCTTTCTTGTTTTTTTTTTTTGGAGACGGAGTCTCACTCTGTCACCCAGGCTGGAGTGCAGTGGCGCAATCTCAGCTCACTGCAACCTCTGCCTCCTGGGTTCACGCCATTCTCCTGCCTTAGCCTTCCAAGTAGCTAGGACTACAGGTGCCCAACACCATGCCTGGCTAATTTTTTGTATTTTTAATAGAGATGGAGTTTTACCATGTTAGCCAGGATGGTCTCAATCTCCTGACCTCGTGATCTGTCCGCCTCAGCCTCCCAAAGTGCTGGTATTACAGGCGTGGGCCACCACGCCCACCAAAACTTCTTTCTTTTTCCTTGTTATATAGACATGTTCGAATCTCTTCTACCAATTTTTTTTTTTTTTTTTTTTTTTTTTTTTTCTGGAGACGGAGTTTTGCTCTTGTTGCCCAGGCTGTAGTGCAGTGGTACGATCTTGGCTCACTGTAACCTCTTCCTCCTGGGTTCAAGTGATTCTCCTGCCTCAGCCTCCTGAGTAGCTGGGATTTTAGGCATGCACCACCATGCCCACTTAATTTTGTATTTTCAGTAAAGATAGGGCTTCACCATGTTGGCCAGGCTGGTCTTGAACTCCCAACCTCAGGTGATCTACCTGCCTCAGCCTCCCAAAGTGCTGGGATTACAGGCATGAGTCACCACGCCCGGCCAGTTCTTTTCTACTTTTAACAAAGACAAGGAAACCTCCTCTCCCCTAACATAAAGTCTTACCTGAATCCAGCTTTTTCTTCTTAAAACTTAGAGATGACAGCTAGACTTTTTGAAATTGTACCTACCCCTCATGTAAGCAAAATATAAATCATTAAGCCAAACAGAATATGAAGGGTGGATTCCAAAATAGGATACAAAAATACAACAAATTAACCTAATTGTCTTACAAATGAATAACATCATCACATTGAAAGGGGATAGGGAAGAGGCTGGGCACGGTGGCTCACGTCTGTAATCCCAGCACTTTGGGAGGCTGAGGCGGGCAGATCATGAGCTCAAGAGATTGAGACCATTCTGGCCAACATGGTGAAACCCCATCTGTACTAAAAATACAAAAAAAATTAGCTGGGTGTGGTTTCATGTGCCTGTAGTCCCAGCACATGCAGAGGGCTGAGGCAGGAGAATCGCTTTAACCCGGGAGGCGGAGGTTGCAGTGAGCCGAGATCGCGCCACTGCACTCCAGCCTGGATGACGGAGCTAGACTCTGTCTCAAAAAAAACCAAAAAAAAAACAAAAAAAAAAAAAAAAAAAGAAAGAAAGGGGATAGGGAAGGAAACAAGGAACCTAAATAACTGGAAAATAGAATCTTGACTGGATATCATAATACTAATGATAAAAACCATACATAAATTCTGTAAGCTACTTAGGCGTATGGGCTAGTAGTTCTGAAACTACTTTGTGTGTATACTTTTTACATGAACAGATTAGTACATACAGTCTTTTGTATCTGTGGGTTCTACATCTATGGATTCAGCCAACTGTGGATTGATAATATCTGGGGGAAAACTGTGTATATACTAAACATGAACAGACTTTTTAAACTTGTCATTCTCTCAACAGTGCAGTATAACAACTATTTACATAGCCTTTACATTGTATTATGTATTATAAGTAATCTAGAGGTGCTTTTAAGTGTGTAGGAGGACTTTTTTTTACTTTCTCTGTAAACAGTGCAGTATAACAACTGTTTACATAGTCTTTACATTGTATTAGGTATTATAAGTAGAGATGCTTTTAAGTGTGTAGGAGGATATGCATAGGTTATATGCAAATACTACACCATATGTCAGGGACTTGAGCATCAGTGGATTCTGATATTTGGGAGAGGTTCTGGAACCAATCCCCTGCACATACCAAGGTATGACTGTATATTGGGGATAATGAGACTCAGGTTTCTCATTATTAGAGAAAGATGAACGGCTAAAATTAAAATCCTGCGTGAGTGTGATTTGAATCAGAGGTATGAACTCTGTGGTGTTTAATATTGACAAATACATACAGAAATATGGATGTGTGTTTATATATGGGTTAATATGTATACATATACTGTATTTTATTTTTAATTTTTTAAAAAAATATTTCTTTTAAGAGACAAGGTCTTGTCCTGTCACTCAGGCTGAAGTGCAGTGTCGCAATCATAGCTGACTGTAACCTCAAACTCCTGACCTCAAACAATCCTGCCTCAGCCTCCCAAGTAGCTGGGACTATAGGTGTGCACCACCACACCCAGCTAATTTTTAATTTTTATTTTTTTGTAGAGATGGGATTATGCTATGTTGCTTAGGCTGGTATCAAACTCCTGGCCTCAAGTGACCCTTCCCACCTCAGCCTCCCAAAGCACTGATATTACAGGCATGTGCCACCATGCCTGCCCCATGTGCTGCATTCTGTGGCTTTTTCTACTGAGAGGCCCTAGAAGCAGTGATGCTTTAGTAACAATGAACATAGCTGGTGCCTCGATTTTTAATAATAATTGTTACAGACAAGCTTTTTTGATGGATGCCAAAGTTAGTGGGCAGAAACTTGAGAAACAGGGTTTTTGCATAGTCGCAAATTTGTATTAAGTACAAATGGAAAAAATATTAAAGTGGAGAAACCCAGTAGACACTACCATAACCAAACACTAAATTTCGTATCACCTGTAATAAGACAGTTGACATCAGGAGCCCCTTGATACGATTCACTGAATGGGATATAACACATTTCTGTGATATTTTTGCCAGATACGTATAATCATTCCAGTCATGAGAAAATACCAGACAAACCCAAATTCAAGGACATTCTACAAAATAATCATCAGTTCTCTTTAATAGTGTCAGGTTCATGAAAGATAGAAAGACTGAACTGTTACAGACTGGTGGAGACTAAGGAGAAATAACAACTAAATGCAATGTGGGATTCTGGATAAGTTCTTGGAACAGAAGAAAGGTGTTAGTGGGCCTGTAGTCCCAGCTCCTTAGGAGGCTGAGGTGGGCGGATGGCTTGAACCCAGGAGTTCTGGGCTGTAATGCACTATGTCGATTGGATGTCTGCATTAAGTTTGGCACCAATTTGGTGACCTTCTGGGAGCAGGGGACTACCAGGTTACCTCAGGAGGGGTGAACCGGCCCAGGTCAGAAATGGAGTAGGTAAAAACTCCGTGCTGATTAGTAGTGGGATAGTGCATGTGAATAGCCACTACACTCCAGCCTGGGAAACATGGCAAACAAACACAAAGAAAAAACATAGTAAGGCCCTGTCTCTTTAAAAAAAAAAAAGATTAGTGGGGAAAGTGGTGAAATTTTAATAATGTCTGTAGTTAATTATAATATGGTGCCAGTATTCATTCCTGGTTTTCATAATTTTATACTATGGTTATACAAGGGGTTAATATTAGGGGAAGCTCGTGAGGCATGTAGAGGATAGGTTGCTGATTTAACCATAGGCTGAGATATGGAATGCTTATTGCATACTTGGTAATTTTTTATTGCATGATTTTTTTATTATGTAATCTCAGTATACCAGGGCATCAGATTCAATTTAAAATTCAATTAACTGACAATATTTCCATATGAGGTGATAA